TGTGTTGTACATGGGGCTAATGAGGTCACCCAACCAGCCTGCATCACTATACTCATCTTCTTTTCTTAATAAATAGGAAAAAAATAACTGAGAGGTTCCCATAATATTTGTCCTCTGAGAAAATGTAGACGGTACAGTCTAGTCAAGGTTATGTGAATAGAAGATATGGAAAGCTTATCTTTTGTGCTGTAGCAGAGAATGATATACAGACTCATGCCCGCATTACCGGGTGACATCACCAGTTATTTTGAATAAATTACACACGGGGTGTGTATGTGCTTCATATTCTGTCAGAAATGAAAAGAGATTCTGTCCTCTAAAAAGAGATTACTGCAGGGTCCAGGAGAAAAACCAAGGGTCACAGCTGCTCCCCAGAATGGATTTCCCAGGTTATTATCTGTGTTTACATTCATTCTAGTCAAGATTCAAAGTCTTAAATCCCATCAGAGACACAGAATCCATACCAGGAAAGAGCGACAGAGATTTTTCTTTCCATCAGAAAGCACTTCAGTCAATTAATGTCTTTGATGTCACATAGCATGAGCTTCTTGTTATGCAAATTTGCCTCTCTTAGAAACACTGATGCGTATTTATCTGCAGAGATGTGGATGTCTGCAGTGAATATGTGAAATGATTAGGAAGAAAACAGACAAATAAAAAGGCGAGAATGAGTGAAAGTGTGAGATTAGGGAGAGGATAAATTTAGGAGAATATAAGGCACTATATTCTCCCACAGAATGGAAGGCTGTGAAACATTCAACAATTTATCACTGAAATGATTTCCACTTCTCCTGGATATGTTCCCAGTTAGTCACAGATACTTCATAGCTCTACAGGGGTAAAGTGGTGGCAGCAGATATTTTTAAATACTGTATTTTCTCTCTATTCTCATTCCTTTCAGAAAGTGCTGGAAATTGAAAATGGAGTTCAGGTGCCATAGATCCGCAAGTAGACTGATCAGCTGAATGGTCGGCACACATTGTGCCTTCTATAACAAGTCTGAGTTTGCTCAGACAGCCATTGAAATTCTCTAAACGCTTAGAAGGGGAACTAAATGGGAGACTTAACTCCTGAACCTCAGGCATCCTTTCTTTTTAATGACAAGGAGCAGTGAATTCAGCTTTTGGAAAGGCTGAACCAAAACTTTCACCACAGAGCTTCTTTGGTACTGTTGAAACAGCTAAACTTTGAAGACTTTTGAAATTCAGCCCAGCGGTTTATTACAAATTTGATCACTATTAGTCTGTTTAACCCTAACCTAATTTACCCTTTAAACCAGGGGTGGGCAACTCCAGGGCTCAGGGGCCGGTTTCCTGCAGGTTTTAGATTTATCCCTGATCCAACACGACTGATTTAAATGGCTAAATTACCTCCTTAACATGTCTTAAAGTTCTCCAGAGGCCTGGTACTAATCATTTGATTCAGGTGTGTGTTGACCCAGGGTGATATCTAAAACCTGCAGGACACCGGCCTTTGAGGCCTGGAGTTGCCCACCCCTGCTTTAAATCCTAATCCATCGCTGCGACGGATTAGGGTTTGAGATAAGATAAGATAAGATAAGACTTTATTGAT